CATTATTTTACTTTTGGCCTGTGCATTAATGTAATTGACATTAATTCCATTGCCATTATTGCTAATCAGCCACTCCTTCATCCTGTTACAGACAGTCGAGAGACTGCTTGTCTGGCTGACAATGCGTCTGAACTTATGAGTGGTAATTAAACTTAGACGGAAGTCACCTTGCCTTGCTTCCCTCGATTGATGCGATCCACTTGCGTTACCTAACAGAATTAAGTACTTGGGAGTGATGCTTTACTAGGATATGTCCCTGAAGTCGAAATCTGGTTTGACGTGGAGACGTAAGAAATTTGTCTGGCAGTCAATCAGAAATAAGGATTTAAGCTTGCTAGTGGTGTGATCGAAAGTAGTCAGAGGATGCCTGCTATATCTTTCAGTTGTTTCAGTGTACTTCCAAATTAGGATAATTTGATGAATTTACTAGAGAGCCTAGTTTTGAGGAGATTTTAGTTTTTTGGGACGCCTTGCGGCCTATTTAGTTACTGAAAGCTGTTTAGTCGGCTCAACAGGCTTTGGACGAAGACTTCGATATGCATAGTCGCAAAGTGCTTCTGGCCAATATTGGACAGTAGGAAAACCAAGGTGCTTCTTGAATAGGCAAAGCGTCAACTCCAGATACTAAAAGAATTCCTGACGATTCACTGCTAATAGAAAGTCATGCACTATGATTTACTATATTATCCGACTTCTACTTAGTAGCAGTTGGGAAAAATATAATACCTTGTTCGGAAGCGACATCGAAAACAGATTGAAATCACGTTTGTTTTGGGCCAGAAACCAGTTTTCCCTTCGAAAACATGTTTTTGATCTCGGTCCAAACAAGTCCACTCAAAACTTTGCTCTAGGCTGCAATACCTTACCAATGGTTAAATTGCTCTCAGTAACCGTTCAAGGAAAATATTTCTATTGTAAAACATAACTTTAGACGCAACTGAGTATGTAGAAAAAATGCGGCTTTTTTTATTTTTAACGAGCAGCCTCTTTAAAGCCTGTCCATACTTTACTGTCATTTTCTTCATCGCTTTAATTTCTTTATTGTTGAAGTTAGCTTTATCGTTTTTGTTATTATTGGTTTATTCCTTTTACCTAATTTTCATCGTCAAAAATATTTTAAAGCCAGCATCATGGCCCGCATATGCAAATATTTCAATGGAAAAATGGTTGTGGTGTCATTTGCCGCCGCAGGATATTTCTCATTGATTACCACGTAGATTTCAGTGAATTCTATAAATCAATTGGCGAATGAATTAGTGAAGTACATGGAATAATTGAAATACGCTCGCAGGCGTCGGATGATAAATAAGATAAATAAAACCGAAAAGCATAATAAACGCAATTGAACAATCGAATAAAAACAAAAATAAATCGGGGAGTGGAAAGACAACAAAGACAAAAATGTTGACGCATTCGACAGACGCAAATAAAATAAACGCCTGCACAAACTACAGCAACACATAATGAACTGGAGAATATTTATTGCCCATGAGCGTATTGTGGTACTGGGATAAAGTAAAAGACAATATAAAATCTGCAGTGCGGACATTGAAAAAGCGACCTAAGTCAAGTTTGGACATTGTTGTTATAAAGCACGAATAAGCTGGGTATCGATTTACAGTTTCAAATATTAACTGCTGACAGCTATAGTCTCTGTTTTTATCGTAAAAAAAGTTAAACGAAAACATACAACTGCTGTTATAGTGTTCACTATGGTTTCCTCTAAAATTAAAACATCTAAACACGCTTAGGTATTTTTCTCTGCAAAAAGCCACAAATAAGTATGTTTGCATGCCCACTGGCTTATGGGAGGTGCAAATTACACAGAAGGACACTGTCTAGTCTGGCTGCACTAATGGCCGCAGGACTTAGACTCAAAAAAAAAAGAAAATGTCAAAATAAATGATTCAGACTAGAAAACACATTTTACGTATATGAAATTTAAGTGATAAAAAGGTACTTACCGCATAATAAATGAGCTGAGCAATAAGCAACTGGCTCGTCTCATATCCGTTCATTACCTAAATGACCTGCTATAATTGACGGATTTTCAGACACAAAAGTATCCAATTAGTTTAACTTTTTTTCACCGTATTTTTGTCAGTCTATGCAAAATATATATTCGCTTGATGTGCTTGTGAGTTAGTTGACAAAATCTGTTTTGAATAAAAATTATTTGCATGGAGGAAATATACACATATATGTGTGTATATCCAGGACTGAAAAAGTTGTTGTGAAAGATTTCGCAATATCCAAAAATATTAGCAATGTTTTTTTTTCTATTTTAAGTGGTTGCCCTTCGGCAGACAATGCCACACAATTTAGAGGAGAAGCGCGGCCAAACATTCATCAAAAAGTTTTCTAGATTGGTTGGCGCAGTACCGTCATTGGTCCTTTATTCCTTTCCTTTTCCACTTTATATGTTCTATCATAAATTGTTCTTTCGCTTGTCTTTGGTTAAATGAATTTTAAAATTAATAAAATGCTAAAAACACACACTTGAGAGCAATTAGACAAAGGACAACAAAAATAATTCATTTACCACACAGCGCTCTCAAAGTGGCTACTGAAATTAGCAATTTAGATGAAAGGTATGTTCGCAAGTGCGAATGCCTGAAATTATGTCATGTAAATCGTACGTCAAGGCATACATTGAAATATGGATACTTTGTAAGGCAGAGGTCGCAGGCAACACAAAAGGTCAGGGCATAATTGATTTACATACATATGTAAGCATGAAAGTGCCCTTCTTTTAGAGCTTTTATAGCGTTTGGCCTTTGGTGTGGTAACCTTAGTACATTTTATCAGCCTTTGTCGCCTTTGTGTTTTGTTGGAGTTAACTCCAATTGATTCTTTATGGTATAAAAAAAAACTTAAATAAATAAGTAAAAATACATATGTAGCTTTCAAAACAGAAAATAAGAGCAAGCATAGTTTCCTTTGAGACATAAAGTTTTTCTTAAACAGAAACGATTTTGAACATTACAACGCATAGATATTGTGAATTAATGTTCTGCAAACTGTTTGGCTTAAATTCGAAAGAATTTGCCGAATAACTTATTGGGAGTGCAAAAAATATATTTTAGACCATTACTATTTAAAAGAATGGGAAAAATCAAGTAATAATTAATAGTGAAAATGCATTTTTAAAAAAAACTTTCTAATGAACCAAGTTGGACCATAAATATGGGTTTTACAAATTGCCTCGACAGCTGGTGAAATATTGATTGCGAAATTCCAGGACACACGCAAGTACATACATAAATACAAGTGAAGTTGAATAAAAGCGTTTAAAAAAGTTTCCACTATAACACGTTTGTATAAATTGACCATGAAATAGAAAATAATTTTTCCTAGACTAACAGAATTTGTCTTAGTAAGGTTTGATTTTAAAATCTGATCAAATCACAACCGATCAAGGATTTCTTCGTCATTATCATTTCGCACTCATCAATTTCGGATTCATTTATTTCGAAATTGATTTCTTTCAAATGATCTGCTTTCACCTTAACTCTGATCTGAATAATAAAGTTTTAAATTTCGTTACCAACTCTTTCCAGCAGGGACCGTAACAGTAAAAAAAATTTTATTATAAAAATCTCCATTTAACAATTATTTTTTTACTTTTATTTATGTATTTCCTCCTTAAATAACAGTTATTTTTGTTTTTTATTTTATAAATTCAATAAAATAGTTACTTTTAATTTCTATCAAAATAATCTGCAAATAACAGTTATTTTTGATTTTTATAGTAAACAGTTATTGAAGACCTTTATTTATAAAAGTCAGCAATAAAAATCAGCCAGTGACAGTTAATAACAGTTTTGATCAATAACAGTTCGGTCCCTACATTCCAGCAAATTTTTTCACTTGCAAATGTTCGTTGCCTCAGTTTATATAAAATTTACCGCCCAGCGTTCGGACTTTACTCTGATCGGAGTTGATTTCTCCGTTTTTTGTTTTAATTTTTAAAACTTTTTCTGTTTTTTTTTCACTCTCTTATAGCCCGGTTTTTGGCAGTTATCCGACGGATTTTAGTATCTAATAAACTGAAAGTTAGACATTGAAATAACGATAAAAGGCAATAAAATGTGTCTCTGAAAAAAAGTATTTCGCCTTTAAGTAACCAAATAAAAAATATACTTATTTTTATTTTTACCCAAAAGCTTAGCCACTGATGATATTAACGAATAGATACGCCATGGCTTGATTAAAATTACATAAATGTGGACGCAATCATTGTAGAAGGACTAAAATCTGCGCATTTCCAGTTCTCGTCAAAGCTAAGCACGCTCTTTTCTCTCTCTTTCATACATACTTAACCCAAATTGACCCCGTGTTGCCATTTGGCAACGCAAAGTACATCATGTATAGGGTGAATAAAAAAGCCACTTACTTAAAAATACTTATATGTAAGTTAACTAATTGCTAGGATAGGTTAGGTTAATCTGGCCGGCGTTGAGCCGCACATAAACCGATAGGTCCTTAGTGTTTCCAGTTGCGCGTTTTTACACGTTAAAATAGACATCACAAAGGAAGTCAAAGGTTTTTGCCAATTTCAGTAGAAATTTCGTCTGTACTTTTTAAATGTCCTCTAACTTCTCGAATTGGTGGGCTCCCAAGGATATGCCCCGTAAGCAATCCATTGGCCCGAGGTATGAGGACTTTTTTGCGGCATTCCACCACACCAAAGCGCCATAAAGCAGTATTGGTCTGATTATTTCTGCGTAGCACCAATGCATCAGAGCAGGTAACAAACCCCAAATGACTCCCAGCATACTTTTACATGCATAAAGGGCGTTACTGGCCTTCTTCTCCCTATCCTCTGCATTGCGCTTCCACAGCAGTTTACCTTCTAAGACTACTCACAAATACTTTGTGTGGTCTTTAATTGACAGCTCGATTCAAATTGACAAACAGAAAAAGGCAAAAAAATTTAAAAAAAAGTTATTCTGGAACAATTTGGGTTAATAAGATACAATTTTTTATTAATAAATTATATAAGAATTTTTTGTTAAATAGAACGTACATATATACACATGTTTCTACGATTATGGAAAACTTAAAACTAGTCTTGTTCAAAATAACCTAGATGCAAATACTTTGGCAACAATTTTTCCAATTCTTCAGCGAACTCTTTTTTAGCATATATATGAGTTTTACAGTCGTCGGATGTTAGAAAATCATCTTGAGCAACATCACCTCCACGGAAAGCCAACCAAGCGGGAAGAAATGTGATGAGAAGGAAAAGCTCTGCGAAAAGAAAATAAATTGTAAGGGTACTCGTTATTTACAAAACAAAAAACAAAAACTGCAGCAAAATAAAATATCTCAACATGGCTAAATTTTTTTGTGGCCTTAAAGTTTTTAAATATCATCGAAGTTTTTTTAAGTATTGCACAATTGGGGTTGCAAAACCTACCCAAGTATTTGTGCTGCATTCGCTGCTGATGTATTTTCATTAACTTTGGCATGGAGCCTTTGTGTCCGATTTTCTGCAGGGTTTCTTTGAATTCGGTAAAGTAAAAATGAACCAACTCTGGAAAGCTTTCGCGTTGTTCCGAGTCTAACAGCATAAAAAATGAGTAAATCAGGTCATTCACCATTGGACCCACATAACATAATTGGTAGTCTAAGAGCATAACATCCACCAATTTGCCGGTGCTCGCTTCCTGTTTGAACATCATGTTTTTGTTGTGAAAATCACCATGGCACAGCACGTAATATCCGTCCTCCCTTGGCGCATCGCGGTACTCCTTGAACGATGCGATGGCCCCGGGGAATATTTTACCTTTGAGCTGTTCGAAAAGCGGCACATACTCAGACAGCGTTGGCATAGTTTTTAAATTGTTGATCAAATAGTCAACGCCGCTGGCGAGAGCTGCACTTTTTTCGATTTTCGGCACAGCCAGTAGGCCCTGACGATATTTCTCGAAATATTGCGGCTCCTAAATTAGAATGAAAGAATTATGTATGTATGTATACATATCTGTGGACATTTGACAGAACAACTTAAGTCTGATTTTCAAGGACCAACCGTGAAGGAGAAAAATGTTGTACTAAATTCGAGAAATATTAAAATATTTTATCGCTATTCAAAACTTTTTAAATAAATTCTGTGGCTATTTAGTTTGTCCGTGAAAGATGGACTTAAATTGTTCTGTCAAATGGCTACAGCTATATATGCACCAATCGCCGTTGTGCTTCGCGGAACGTACCTCCAAATTTATTTTATAGCTTATGGCATGCCATTTGGCTAACTTGCTATAGGCTGCCTTAAGCTCTACGCTGTTGAGATAGCGATCACGCAACATTTCATAGCCCAGCGGCACAATATCCTCCAAGATGATAATCTTTTCAGGACTCAATTCATGAAAAAGCATGCTGTAATTCAAAAAAAAAAAAACCGTAGTTTTATTGTTTAATTTGCACACTTATTTAGCATATTTCACTTACGGCGCTCTGAGCACTGTTTCATCGCCGATGTCGCGCAATATCTGCTCGAAGCGCGGTATAACCTCGGTGTACATGCCGATTTCAGTCTCGAATATGTATGATTTCTCGAACATTTCCTTCTTTTGTCCCTCCGACGAAGGCATTGTCTTAATAATCATCCTCTTTGACTTATCCTCGCCATCACATTCGTACTCAATTGTTGCGCGAAACATCACACTGGCATAGTGGTCGCCCTTGAGTGTGGCAGGTGACAGTTCGGTGCTCTTCAGACGCAAGCTCTTCGCTTCTGTCTCGAAGTTGTGCAACACCTTGATGAAGAACTCATCATTTAACCACACGGGTGCCTCTAATTCATCGGCATTGTAGTTGCGATTATTTGGCGGCATCCTTCCTTTTATTTTGGGATGCTTTAGCGTAAAGTAACGCGCGAATACTAAAAAAATTTGCTATATCATTGTACGTTTATTTAAAAGGCGACAACATTGCAAAAGCTTTGAGTTAAGTAAACAAAAGCTATACATACATTTGCGTTTATTTTTTAAAATCGTCGCTGCTGTGAGATAGCCATGCGTGTAAGTGCATGAATACACAAACGAGCTGGTAATGAAATTCGCAAGCATACTGAAAGAAATAAGTTTACCTATCTAAAATGGAAATTAATTTAAAACGCGAAAAAAGCACACAAATCACTGTTGAAAATCCCCTAGAATTTTATCATTGTTGAGTTAAACTTAAAGTCTCTCAAAATTTTAGTCAGCACTTACCCTAAACTTTTTCCAGTGTATTAATCCCTGGCATACTTACATATGTAAGTATGTTTGTATACAGATGACCCCTTTAATACAAAATCACTGATAATACTTCACAAACAAACAGATAAATATTTATCAGCATACTTACGTGCATATTACATACATACATACACCTGCAATGGTGAGATTCCAATAAGTAGTACATACATACCTACATATACCTGTATATCTACTCACTTTCAAGCATTTAAAGCTGTCCATTGATGTTTTCGCAAACTTGAATATCCGGTTTTATTGCTCTCTGTTTAGTTAATCAATACATAAAAAAAGTAGTGGTCTTAATATCTGAGCAAAAAACGGAAAAAATTGCTTTGTCATGTCAACATATGGTTTTTTTTTATCTATGTATCTACATATATAAGTATTCATATCTGTACGAGTTTATAATACGCTCGTAGGTTAAAAAAACGTTTCGCCATTGCAATATAAAACAATGATTTTCCTTCTTTCTCACAATAAGCATTTCAAGCGCAATTTCATATCATACAAGAATACAATGTAGGTACCATATATATCGCACACCGTCTTCAAAAGAGACACAACTCAAAATTTTACATTTTTGGGATTATGCGCTAAAAATATACGCAGCGCTTTTATTTACCTTTCAGTAAAGGCTGAAACGAATTTCTCTTATAATTTGTTAAAAAAAACCGAAGGTAAAGTCGACCTTGCCCATATGATTATCATGTGCTAAGAAACAGTTTTTCGCATTATCTGACGAACGTGTAATTTTGAGTTGTGACTCTTTTGAAGACGGTGTGCGATATGTATGTTATTTATCTACATACAAACGTAAATATGTATGTACATACTAATCTCTCTCCAACAATGTAACCCAGAGCGAGTATCAATCGAATATGTGAGTAAAAATAATGTGTGAAAGCGTTGCACAGTGTAACCCATACGGTCAAAAATTATAAAAACTAACTGTAAATAAAAAAAACTCTTCAGGTGCAAGGGAACAAAGTTAATTTTTAAACTTTTTTTTGTATGCTTTTTGGAAATTTCCCCTGATCATACGAAGGCAGCTTGGTAAGGCAGTGATGTTTTGAGTGATTTCTTTTCTACAAAAACGGGTTAAATTTCTCAGTATACTGTCCTTTTAGCTAGACAAATTTGGTCTAGTCCAATTTAGTGATGAGCCCTTTATACGAGCCAAATCTTGCGAGCTGATAACCCAATGGTATTCAATAAGGTTTTGACCAATCAGAAATTTGTTTGTATTTTAAGTAATTTTTGACAGATGAATGCGTGTAATGTTGTTCTCATATTTTTATAAAGACGTGGGGTGAAACCCGCAGGTAAAAGCTTATTATAAATAAGTAAGGTTTTCAATAAATATAAAATATATCTTACCACTCTTTATTCGCTATTGGTCCACTGTGCGTCGTAATGAGTACTCAAGTAGTAGATAGCATAAAAGTGGATTGGCATATCGCGTACGCTAAAACGACAACACATTTTCACACACGCCTATGTCTATACACATGCAGCCCAGTTACTTACAAGATAATCTAGATACATATATATATATATACAAATATACCCAGTTTTCCCAACGACTTCGTAACGTCGTCGTTTCCGACTCGTTCTCGTATGAAAAACACAGTTCGCTGGCGGATCGCGAAAACGATATACTAGCGAACTGCAAAACGATACACAAAATATTACCAAAAAAGTACACAAATTCGTATTAATAAAAAATTCTGCAAGCATTTCTAAAAATTCCAAACTTTTCTATCTGAATTAAAAGAAAAGATATAAAGCAGCTATATAAATTAAATTGTAGTGTAATGGAGTACAAATTTTGTATAGAAAAAAGAATTCGGTATGACGTCGTTGGGAGTTCACCCAAACGACTTCACCACATCGACGTCGTAACGACGTCAATTCGAACCCGTCTACGCTCTGCGGCAAACTGGGTATACTACATCAGGCATCGCTTGTCAGCTGTTTTTTTTTTTTTTTTTTTTTTATAATTCAAGTTCAAGTGCCCGTTAATTATCAAATACGTCAACGTAATTAAATGTTTTCAGAAATAGTTATTTCTGTAAAGTAGGTATGTACATGTGTATATACAAAGGTACATATGTATATAGCAGTGGTTGCACTGTAATTTTTCGCATCTCATGCATACTAGATAATTGAAGTTCTAATTATTTTTTTTTATTACTCAAAGATAAATACTGTAGCAGTTAATTTGTTGTGAAATGACAAACCGGAATAAAAAATTGTTTTAGCTTTTTTTTGTTTTCAACATCCGCTGTTTTTGCAGACTATAAAGCGCTTACATTGGACTTTATGTGTACTAGAATTCAACTTCATTATTTATGATTCATCAGAATTACGACGGATAACATAATTGCTTACTTTACTTCTTGATTATATGGAAAGATTAGACAGAGCACAGATTATACGCAACCTGAAATGGAATTCCGCAGGCCCATATTAATTTGATATCTACAGCAGATGGATACATCATCTAGTTCAGGATAGATTTATGTAGTTTTAGTTGCTGTTCATTGTAATGCTCTCGGAAAAAATACAGCCGATGAGTTAGACATTGACCGAAATGAAGGACGATCTCACCTTCGATCCAAACGATACATAAAAATGTCATTTACATTTTAAGCTAATTTTAGCAAACGAATTTAAATTCGTATTATGCAATTTATATTTATTTGTAATTTAAAACCATATAAAATTACTCCGTATTGTTCAGGCGGGGCAATTTGGGGGCCGGAAATCGTCGTGATTTCGGCAACGGTTAGATTATTTAGAATTATTTAGAATAATTATTGCTAATGACAACTAACGATGCTGCTTAAAAAAAAGAACTGCTATAAATATAAGACTCTTATCTTTTTTTTTTTTTGCATAATTTAACGGTGTTTCTGTTCACTCATATTTTGATACTTTAAATAAATCCACTCGTTCCCTTGCAAATTCGTGAGAATATTATATAAGCTTTTAGAAAACCGTGGAATCATTATGCGCGCTAATCCTTACCGGGAAATTGTGCAACGTAACTAATGACAATCATCAAAATGTCTAATAAAAAGTTCAACAAAGCAAATAACAAGAACTAATAACCCAGCAAACATTGAGGTTAGTTATCGATTAGAGAATGATTGTAGAACCAGCCACATTCTCCAAACTCAAACGGTAGAGGACGACTCGAAAAACTATCGAGAATCGTAGCGATCTCAACAAAAATGGGACATAGTTCTCGACTTGAGAAAATATCAATTCTCTAATCGAATTCTAAATGTTGACCACTAATGGGATTCGAATGTGAATTTCATTTGCGTTGTTTCTCTAATCGTTCTCGAATCGAATTCTAATGTAGTTCTCTAACTTCGTCATCGACTCGAGAACGATTATCTAATGTAGAAATCCGAATTTCCCTAACGTTCATTTATTTTATCAATTTAATTGAATACAATTTTTCAGAAATATTTTCGGCTAAAAAGCCTTCTTAAGCGTCATTCTTTTTTCATAGATAACGGGCATAAAACCATCTGCAAAGTCAGCTAGGAGCCCACACCGATTCTGGCCACTAGAGATCTTATTTCGTCCAGGTCAGCAAGTACTACAAGATGCAGACTGCCGGATCGCTACTGCAGAAAAATTAAATGCCTTGAATTCTTGCGCAAAAAAATACAATTATAGCCCAAAAATCTGAAAATTATATTCCACAACTGTAGCTAGTTCTTGCGGGGAGGCGAATGAAAATTTGGTAACTGACATGGCGAGCATAATTGCGATATAAAGGAAACTAGTGAGCATGGCGTAAATGCACCAAAATTTAATGAAATACTTTAAACATGGGTCACCTCTATTCAGGGTCCTAACTAAATATTCAATAAATATTCGAAGTGTTTCATTCAGCCGGTTTCGAGACCTCCCTGCCTCCCTTATAAAAAATATATTCAAACTAAGTTTTTCTTAAAACTCTTTCGTTTGACAGTCATATTTTAATATTTCATCTAAATTGTTTATAAGTTAAATAAATTCTAACTTTCAAACAGATGGCAAACCTCTTTAAAATATTTTCAAATCAAGATTTTTAAATCTCTTCCTTGTGAAATTTGATTTATCAACACGTGGCAACTCTCTTAAATACAGTTCACAAATAAATCATTTTCAAGCGCATGTCGATGAATACTTATCTTTTGATAATTCTTTTAACATATTAAATAATTTGAATTTAACTTTTTTAACAGGTGGAACATATTTTAATATTTCATATGTATATTTATCTTGTGTATATATTAACTCAGCCTGGCTTTTAAACCCATTTAAAAATATTCTCCCCGCGCTTCTCTTAATTAAAAGTGAATTTGATTTTAAAATCACGTTCCACAAATCTCTCATTTTTTCCGTCCTCGTACATGAAAATGATTTGGCGCTTTCGAAGAAACTAAGCTACGCAGAATTTATGACTCCGGTGGCATATCCCCAAGGTCTGAAGTAGTTATAATAATATAATAGATATAATAACAGAATGACGAAAAATAAAACAAATCTTAAATTCGATTGGAAATTTGAAAACCATTTTTACGGCTCTGTAAAAGTATGGTTCTTTTTAGGGGCCGCGTGCCTATTTTAATTCCAAGGAATTAAGAGCTTTGTTTTGAAAATAAATATCTTTGTCCTTTTGCCTACCTACTAATTACCTACTAAATACCTACTAATTGGAAGAAT